GATACTAAGTTTGAGATTGGCACCAAAACTGCTTTGCTGCAGCCCTTCTCACCTATTGTTATTGCTGCAGATGAGAGTGAAAGAATCAGGTAGAAGAATCTCATCAACCTTAGTAATCCATTATTGCTGTAATAACTTGGTTCAGTTTATTATTGAAAAATACTGGATAGGATAGGTTGGTTCAGCTGCGTAATCTGCAATTTCAGCTTATCTAGTTGTCTCATGTCTGTCAGTAAACAGTCAATATCAAGTGGAAAGTTTGAATGTGAGTCAATCTAAAAGAACATAATGCATAATGGAAATATGCTCCTCCCGCCAAGAAAAATCATTAACATTTCTTGGAGTGTGTCATAGCATTGAAGTTTTTCTCTTAGAGTTGGTGCTTGAGTTAGATTCTCTCGTTCAGTTATAGCAAATTAACAGAAAAAAGGTTAGTTAATGATGTTTCAATCTGTTCCATCAGAGGCATTCTCGTTGTGAATTAAATAATGTGTTAAAAGGAGGGTGATTTGTGATGTATACTATTCCTATTTCACTGCTTCACTATTCCTGTATCAGCTCATGGATTTTTCTTTCAGTTGCTTATCTTTGTCATTCTTTTGTTATCTCAAGTCTTCTATGTTTTTTGCCATTAAGTTTGTATGTGATGTATAAAATATCATGCTCCTTGTGTTTTTATGAACAGGGTATGGAATTACGAGGAGGCTACCCTTCTTAATAGCTTTGATAACCACAGTTACCCTGATAAAGGAATTTCAAAACTGTGTCTTGTCAATGAGCTAGATGAGAGTTTGCTCCTTGTTGCTTCAAGTAAAGCTTTGCTGCAACAAACTTTTAATTTATATTGTTCATTGATGCCTAAAGTTTTAACAAACTTTTGTTTATATAAAAGGTGATGGGAACATCCGGATTTGGAAAGACTATACTCTAAGAGGCCGACAAAGACTAGTTTCTGCATTTTCATCCATTCAAGGTCACAGACCTGGTGTCCGTAGTGTGAACGCTGTTGTGGATTGGCAGCAGCAGTCTGGATATCTGGTAATACCGTGTAATATTAGCTATTCAGACATTAATATATGAATGCACTAGTACCTTCAATTTTTGGTTAGGTGTATTACTTTAAAAAATTCTTGAATTTCTTTCCTTTCATATCTCGGATTTATTCTGTATCTTTGTCTGGCTCATTTGTGCTATTAATGTTCTTATACAACTTTTTCAATTCGTTACCAGTTTTCATCTGGTGAAGTTTCGTCAATCATGGCTTGGGATCTTGACAAAGAACAACTTGTTAATACAATTCCAACATCCTCAGATTGCAGCATCTCAGCATTGGTGAGTTTTCGGAATTTCCCTTTAAAATTTATGGCATTAGTATATATGATCAATTACCATTAAGATTCTAATGCTCTTTGTCTGCAATAATTATGACTAATTGGTAAAAACCCAGCATCAGCTCATATTGATGCAGCATGAAATGCCAAAAGCCCATTTTGCTTCAATTGCTATTTTAGACTTCTTTGTGTTGTCGAGAAAAAATGACAAAATTGTCCCTTATGTTTGAGGCTAGGTTCAAAGTAGCCCCTTAGGTATGCGCACTTAACAGTTTTGGTCCTTTAAGTTTACCACGAGTTGACAAAAATAGTCCTCAAATATGCACTCAACATTTTTGGTCCTTTTAGGTTCCCTGAAATTTAATACTTAAGTCTTTGGAAAAATATTTATCGAACTTTATCTGTTAAATTTGCTGGAACTATGAATTTTTAAAATTATTAACACCAAGAAAGTTGCATCAAATCCTAAAATATTCAACACAAAAACTACACGGGACACTAAAGAATATTTTCACTCACAAAGCACTCCAGATCTCTTCAAAATACTATAGACTATCTGGCGTGTCTTCTTTTATGCACAAACTTTTTTCCAGTATATTTTTTTCTTCAATAACTTTTTTCAAAAGATGTTCAAACCGCTCTAGTATATTATGTGTTTAGTAGAAATTTTTTGTACCCAGGGACAATACTTTGAAGCAGGTTGTTATGACAACTCTTTAAATTATTAGCTGTTATGGTTGATATATCCCTATTTAGGAAGGAGTGGTTGTATGGGGAGCTGATATGTGGAAAAAATAGTGGTCTTGTTCATTGCAATCCCTTTAACAGCCTAATAACTTAAGATATTTGACTAAGTTCATGCTAAATTTAGTTTGATGTATCAAGCTAAGTTTGGGAATAGAGGTGGCATCAATAGTTGATACTGCTGTCTAAAAGACATTGCTTTTGAAACACACCATGATTCAGGTTTGGTCAGAGGTGTATGCGTCTTGAATTGAACTGCCTTATAATATGGTTAGTCAAATAAACTTTTAAGGTTATAAAAGAACAAGTCATACAGATTTATTTGTAATGCTTACGGTTGGATGAAAAAGAGGTTAGGATGCTTCTGCTGAGTCCTGCATTTAGTAGGAAGGGCTAGTCTTCTGAAAGGAGTTGGTTGTGGATGAATCCTTTCCCCCCTTTTTCAGTTATCCACAGTTTCTGTTATAAAATAAAGCACTCGTGCGTTTGTTACGCCTTTCCAACTAGGCGGCGACGTATGTTGCTTAGAATTTCAATGTGTATTCATTCTATCTCTGATAGATACTTACATTTTATATCTCTCTGATGTACTGCAGTCAGCTTCTCAAGTTCACGCAGGACACTTTGCTGCTGGCTTTGTGGATGGATGTGTCAAACTATTTGATATTCGAATGCCTGAACTGTAAGTTGAAGCTTTTACTATATTTGGGTGATTTTCTTTTCTCCTTTCTAACATCATCTTCTATAGGATAATTGATGTGATGGCATAGGCATTGCATTATCCAACTTTTAGGTCTGTTCTCTTTTTCTTGTTTGAGAGTGGGTGTCCTGTAGGAGAAGCTTGTCTTTTGGTGTACGATTTGTAGGCTTTTAGGTGATATCCATCTTTTTTTTTATTCTATTAGACGGTGAGTTCAAATTCAGTACGCCAGGATGGGTATCCATTCTAGTAATTCGTCTTGTATGTTAACAGAGGGACTTACATGCATACATTTTTTGTTTTTGCATGAAATACTTGTGTCATTTCTCATTTAATGCTCAAATGGTATTTATTTAGGCTTGTTTGTGCATCACGGCCGCACACCCAAAGAGTAGAGAGAGTAGTGGGGATCGGCTTTCAACCTGGACTTGAACCAGCAAAGGTGACCACTGTTATCTTGTTCAAATTTATTCTTTGCTCTTCTTTTCTCTTTTGGCATACCAGTAATCATCAACTGTTTCTTTTGTTTCTTAGATCGTCAGTGCCTCTCAAGCTGGTGATATTCAGTTCCTTGATATGAGAAATCTCAAGGAAGCTTACTTAACAATTGATGCTCATAGGGGATCGCTAACAGCCCTAGCTGTTCATCGTCATGCACCCCTTATAGCAAGTGGTTCAGCTAAACAGCTAATCAAAGTCTTCAACCTGGAAGGTGAGCAATTAGGCACCATAAGATATTTGTCCACCTTCATGGCTCAGAAGATAGGTTCAGTCAGATGTCTTACCTTCCATCCCTATCAAGTGCTGCTTGCTGCTGGAGCAGCAGATTCTTGTGTTTCAATCTATGCTGATGAAATTGCCCCGACAAGATAATTTTCTGAAACATTCAAGATTGAGAAACCAAAAAAGATTACAGACATAAGTTGAGGTGGTCAGCTGCAAAAATGGACTGTTGACATCTCTGAAACATATCAGCTCACTGAGGTCCTGTGCTACTTATTCATTGAGCCTCTGCAGCGACGAGTGTTGCCAAGTTGGGAAAAAATTCAACATATTGGAGGAGGCTTTAGCAAATAATTTGATAAATAGGTGGTAAAAGAAGGTGTAAATATCTGTTATTCATTGTTTCTAGTTTGTAATTTTCTCCGTGTGCTTCCTTAGTTCAGCCCCCTCTACTTTCTTTTCTCCCCTGGTTCAATTTGTACAGCTGAATTCATAATTTATATATGTTGTTGGCAACCAGTGTTCTGTGTTCCATTGTTTGTGTTTTTTGGGTTTCTCACCACCCAGTGTTCGGTACCCACATTAGAGTTCGACTATTCCGGATTTTGCCCCCATTCGGGAGGTAACGCTCCCTACCAAAGATTTTCCATCCAAATGTAGGAGCAGCCCCATCCATTGTTTTAGTTACAATCTTTAAATCCATTGTTTTAGTTGCAATCTTTTAAATCCGTTATTTTAGTTACAATCTTTAATTGAAGCTGAATGGCCAATTAATGTGTTAAATGGAATAAAAAAGATCATAATTCCTCTCCAAGTTAAACTTGCCCTTCAGCTACGACACTCCTTAATTTCCATGTCATAGTCTACGAAATTACCTCGAGCTGTAATACTTGCTCTTAAGCTTGAAGCAGAACTTCCTAAGTAGATTCCATTTATTTCCTTCAATTTCCCAGAGTAAGTGGTCCTATTGAATTGGCCATCTATAAAGTCCCCTTAGAATTAGCCACACATGTAATCCCAAGTATTTCATTCACATTAATCATTCTAAGGTTGATTCATATAATTATATCATCACATGCAAGCCACACATCCACGTAATGTTTGTCTACAAGAACATTAGAACACCATTTCCGCCAGCCTAATCATATGATGTCTCCATCAATTCTATAATGTATCTACTTACATGTCACTAATCAAGTCTATACATAGAGTAAACCATAGCCTAGCTCGACTAAATAAAAGTTATAGCAGAACCTCACCTTACTATTTGTTCAGGTCTTTTTTTTCTAGCATTGTCAATTTTTACCTATCCAGTTTAGTGCTCTGAATCAGAAAAAGAAATTGTGAATAGTAATAACACAAAACTCGGAATGTGAAGTCCCATTAGGATGCTGCTAGATTTCAGCAAGCTTCTTGCTGGCGGAGACGTCCAAGAGAAGTCGTGAAAAGTGATCCATATGATTATGGAGAAAGCAAGGATGAAGTTGCAGACTCATCAGCAATAAGTTTTAAAGATAATCAAATCCTTATTGTGACGAAGAATAATCTTACAACAAATGGCAATATCACCAATTCAAGTTATTCACTGCCAGTATAGAGACATAAACCTAATCCCATAACAAAGAAGGGAGGAAAAATAAATCAACTCAATGGTTACTTCAGTAACAGATTTCAAACCTCATCACCCTAAGAGATTATTTAACTGTGGCATAACATAAACACGGATAATGTAACAGCCAACAGCCAGAATTAAATCAATCTTATAACACTATTCTGCCTGCAAACTCCAAAAAACCAAATCAAGTGAGGGTAGAAGGGGTAGGGGACGGTCCAATCATGTACATCATATTGACAGCATGGTATAGAAGATGTGCCACAAATGCTTCTCATTTTCGTCCACCAACCATACTCTGGCTGTTAGTTCCTGATAAACCAGAAGATGAGTTGTGTCTTTGATCCCCGTTGCCAAAAACATTAAGATCTTCAAACAGCCTATAAGATGGAATGAAGGTTTTTTGACCAGAAGCGGGAGTTGTTGTCTTGGGGTTGGGATGAACTTGAGTGTCACCATTAATAGCTAAACCATTGCTTCCCATATTGGGGAACGAGTTAATATTCTGTATGGGTCTAGCGCCTTGCAAAGACACAGGTGTATTTGTGGTTGCTTGTGGAGTTGAGTACATGTAGGTTGGTCTGGACGAAGGACTTGGATTGCTCAGATATCCGGGAGTTGCTGCCCAAGGTGGAGGTGGATAAGCAGAGTACTGTGGGAACTGAGTCTGAGCACGTGGTGATAACAGTTGAGACTGAGGATGAAGTTCTTGCTGAGTTCTAGGTTGTTGGTTCAGTTCAGGTTGCAAAGGAGATTGTGGAAGCTGTTGTGATGTATGCTGAGATTGTAATGAAGATTCTTGGGGTTGCTGCGGTTGAGGCTGAGTGGATGGTTGGGGTCGGGATTGATGATGAAGTTGTGATTGAGGTTGTTGGTGTGGATGAGGCTGAGGTTGGGGCTGGAACTGGGCTTGGGTTGGGTGTTGAAATTGAGGATGAAACTGAGGTTGGCCTTGGTGTTGATATTGAGGATGAAACTGGGGTGGTAACTGATGCTGGGGTTGGGGTTGGGGCTGAGCCCAAGGAGCTACATAACTGTTAAAGCTCTGATCTTGATACCCAATATAAGCTTGAGATGCGTATGGATTCCCATGTGTGGTTGAGGCAAGCGGCTCCTGATTATTTTGAGTAGCTGAAGCAGAATTTTGTGATGTTTCGGGATATACACTTGATGACAAGGTGAGGCTCAAGAGGTCAATTATGTCTTGTTCTTTCGTGGATGTTGCAGGTGGGTCACGAAGAATTAATGCATTGCTTGCGACAGGATCCAATGGTTCTCCCATAGAATTGCTAGTATTGGCAGAGACCACTCCTTCACTTGTTTGGGCTGCTGGACTTGTTTTTGAATGTCTGCATCAGCACAAGCATGAACGTCATTAGAGAGGACAAACTACAGCCATAAAACCACCATACAGTCACAAAAAGAACTTCTGATTTCCAAAAACTTCTACCAAATCCAACTAAAAGTTACTAATCTTTCTGCTGAGCACTACCCACCCCCTTATCTTTCCTCTCTTCATCCAGATGAACATTTGGGAAAATCAACATGACAATTAAAAAGTACTCTAACAGTGAATCAAGGACGACTATTTTGAAATTTCCTTCGCATGAAAGTGTAATAACCTGCTAGTCTTGACATCTTACTGTTATATTGCCATGGCACTACATACATGCAATGTGGTACTTACAATTGGGAATAAATGCATCTGTTATCTCCATATTTACCTTCGAGCTAGTTGGGCAAAGTCGTCTTCCTCATCTTCCTCTTCATCAATTTGACCTGCGGTTGCTACAAGAACTGGTGCAGAAGGTTTGACATCTGCTGTTGGACTGGCTGGTTTAACTTCAACAGGTTTAAGGCTTGGATCATGCATTCCTCTTGCAGAGAAGTTGTCATTTGAGACTTGAGTTGGGAGTGGAGAACCAGAAGCTATTGCATCATGTTTAGCCAGTACAGTTTGGAGGTTATCATTCAATTCAAGACCCTGGGCAAGAAGTTCTTCATCCCTAGGATAAATCAGAACAAATTTTAATAGAAGAAAATATACTGAAAAAATAAAGGAAACTAGCACCAGTCTAGTTAACATTTGCATCACCGTTTTCCCCATGAACACCACAAGAAACAAAAGACATAATTACCCCGTTGTTGTTAACATTTGCATCAACTTCTTCTGGTTAGAGCGACACCGGTCAACAAGATCAACTATAACTTCGTCCTTTACAGCCTAGACAGATAAAAGATAGTAAAGGGTTAAAGATTTTTTATTAATGAGGTGCATGAAGAGTAAAGTATGTACATACCAAACGATCGCCTGGGGTCACAGCTTGAAGCATATCAGCCAACAGATCAGCAACATCCCTCATAGAATTTATGCTGGACAAGCTGTAAGGCAAAAACTTAGTTTACAAAAGAAATGATAGTGTGAATCATAACACAAACCACCATAGTGCAACAACGTACGATCAATAGGTCTGCAAGGGCTAATTGACTTACCTTAAGTTTCCCACCTCTGCTGCCATTGCCTCGTCAAGTCTTGTTGATGAATTGCTTGGCATTCCATAACCAGGTTGCGCTTGTCTTGGTGCAGGATGAGTAACAGGAGGAGTAAAGATAGGAGCTGTATCAAATGAACGCTTGGGAAATTCAACACCAGCACGCTGCCATGATCATGACACCAAGGTGGTTACTAGAAAAGATAACTTCAATACAAAATGTTTAAGCATGGGATTTCACTTCTTGGAGAAGGTTTCTTTTGAAAGAAAGTGACACCCCACCCACCACATAGGGGAGAAAAACAACAAACAAAAGAACCAAAAAGAAAACATCTGAACAATTCCATTAAAAATATCAAAACACAGAAATGAACTGCATAAATCCCTTTCCCAACTGATCGTTGGAGGAAGAGATCATCTATCTCAAAGGTAATATTTCAAACCAACAAATCAATGTCATTACAAGTATCTCAATGAAATCACAAGCCTATTAACACACAAAAAATGATTTTGAATTAAAACATCACATCTGAGTTACTAACCCTCAATTCTTCATAAGCCCAATAATACTGGGGATACTTTCCTCCAGGGCCACCAAATGCCTCTTGCCAAGAGTCCAGTAGTACTAGCACTTTATCTCTCACATGCATATCAGTCTGCAAAATCATCAAAAGAGTGGCAGAGTATTAAAATAAAAGGTCAAGAAAGTATGCCATATATTATCAAATGCAAATTCAGCTTGAGATGATACATGCATCTAATCAGAAAGAACTGAAGTATTTTGAACAAAACTTGCCTTCTTCTTTACAATTTTGACCATGTCTTGCAATATGGTTCTTTCAGTAATTTGAAAGTGCACATTATCACCACAGTTCTTCACCATTGTCTCCATAAGCTGTAGGCAAAAGAGCAAGAAGAAGAATCATTAGAGCCATCAAAAGTTAGCGCAGCTTGACAACCTTAAAAAGAGATTGGATATCAATACCAGGTAAAAAGAAATACTATTCTGCTTAGTTCTATTTTAGTCAATAATATGGCCCTCAGTTTATCAAAAGCGAAAAGCGTTAAAAAACACTCCAGATCTATTGGGACTATAAGTGCAATATAAGTGTGGGCTTCATTTAAAAAGGTGCAACGAAGAAAAAAAAAATGTAATACAAGAATTAAGTAAGAACTAAACAAAAAGAAACTTCATTCATAATGATTTTCTTAACTATCATAAATATCTTTGGATTTCATATTTATTGTTTATTACCGCTCTGTTTAAGATGGAGCTCGTGGGCAATGAGGCAAACACCATAGTGCCTTGCATACACTGAGGCGCAACCTAAATAAGGTGAGGTGGAGCGCTTACCCTGTTCTTCAAGGCTTACGTGTAGAGCCTCTGACACCACTGATGGCCCTAATTGCTAATGAAATTTTACTAACTGTAAATTATATAAATAAAGGAGAGGTTCCAACATACGTACTGTTAAAGCAAGTAGCTGAACTTTGGGGTTCTTGTGCTGCAACCTCTTTTTCACAGCTTTGACAACATCTTTTGCCAACCTGTATAGAGTGGGGAGAATTAAATCAAACCTTAAATTATTTTCCACTTGTTCTAGCTCTATGCATATAGTTTACATCAACTTCAAGCAATGGAGAATGGAGCATAGTAACTGAAACTAGGATGTATGTAGTCCTTTAATTAAGTTCGATGTTCAAAGAACTAATTATCGAGAATCCCTACTTTCCTTGAAATATATTTAGTACTCTCATGAAATGAGAATGAGTAGTTTGTATATCCTTCTAAGATAATAGCTCAACACCTAGAAAAATCTAAACAAGAATAAGAAACAATTAAGAACTGGCTCCCCTTGATAATTCTTGGATACAAGTGAAAATCCATTCTTGGTTGCTATAAATTGTATACACATGTGAAGCTGGGTAATTCAACAACTTTGAACCTAAAAAGGTCTTACTTTGCTCCTACATGTTCCCTAACATTCAAAAGCTCCCCAAAGGCAAATGGAACACAGTAAAAAAATCAAAATAAAGTTCACTTCTAGACTGATAAGTCTTAAATAAGACTTCAAACTATCAGAATTTAGAAAAAAAGCACAGAAAGAAAATCCCAATACAAAAACAACCCTAATTTCTATTGTCTTAGAAGAAACCCACACATGAATCAATAAGCCCAAACAGGACTGACTTCAGAAAAAAAAAACCCTTTTTTTCCATAAACCATCAAGAAAACACAGAAACAAAAACCCACCATTAAACTTACAAGAAACACAGAAAAAAGTAAACCCCATATAAAAAAAAGTCAACTTTCCCCCCTTTCACCATAAAAACAGCAACAACAAAGAAGTAGAGAAAAATGGGTTTTGCTAATTATGTAAAAAAGAAAAAAAACAATTTACCATTGGTTAGAATTGATTGTATCACAAATATCAATATTCATAGTCCAATCAGGACCGATCAAGAACTCGCTCGTTGCCTTCTCAACACGAACAGCAGCTGATGAAGATGATGAAGACGAAGAAGAAGTTGCACCCAATGATGGGGTTCGGTCTAACCAAATATAAAAAATCCAAAATTCCATATTTGTAAAAAAAAACTGGGGCAAGGTCATTTTTATTTTTATTTTTATTCTTTCTATCCCAAAGCTAAAGTCAATCCCATCATTTAAAGTCGTATTTGAGACTTCATCTTATCATTTCTTTCTAACCTTGTACAAAAGTTGGATAAAGACCTTTGGATCAACCTTTGAAGTGTCAAGAGTGAGTATGTTAAGGGTACAAATGATGAAACCATGAGAGAGTCTTATTGGTGAAAACCTTAACTGGGCATCATAAGGCGAATGTGAGTTAAAAGAAACAAAAAGGAGAGAGTCTTATTGGTGAAAACCCTAACTTGGCATCATAAGGCGAAAGTGAAAAAAAAAAAAAAAAAAAACTTTACAAGGTTTGTTAGTTTGTGGGGAAAATATTTAAATTGTATTTTTTGCGAGAAAAACAAGGGAATTTTGGTTATTTGTTCGTGTATTATGGTGGGTGTTTGGTTTTTCCTTTTCTCTTTCCGGGAATTTCGTCTTTTTTTCCTTCTTCCCTTTTCTTCTTCTCAATTATCATCTTCTTCGCTCTGGAAAAGGTCTTTCTTTTTACTTACAATAACTCACGCGCTATTATGGGAAGTTATACACACGCGCCTAAATTTGCTAAATGGTCCCCCTATTTTTTTATATACTTTTTGGGTTCCGGAAGAGAGTATAGTATTCTTTCATTGTTATTTATTATTTATTATAAATATCAACTATATTATTTATTAATTAAAATGTTATTTTCTTTGGAAATTATATATTTTTTAATTTAATAATATCTTTAGTTTTTCTGAACGTCATTTAAGTAAAATCTCAATAAATTAATATTCAGTAAATTAATAATTTCTTTAAGATGATATTTCCTCGATTACGACTTTGATTAATGGAAAAAAAATCACTTATTTCGATAAGATAATAAGATTATATATTTTTAGAAGACCCCTTGTATAATAAATGGTCCCATTAATGTTATGAATATAATAATTTTATAAAAGGACAAATATATGTAAGACAATTTAGTAAAATATGATTCTATTGTGTTTTTCTTTTGGTTAAAATTGAAATCTAGTTAAAGTTTATCTCTAACTTATCTTGTTACATTCAAAAGTTCCGGTGTACTTGCTACGATGACAAATCTCTTTGAGTGCATGTAGAATGATCTATTTTATATTCACATAATGCTTTACTTATTTGATATTTCATTGCTAATTTTGTGATACCTTTTAAATGAGAAGCCATTTTTAAATATGGTTTCAAGAAATTTCCTATTTTGCTTATATAGTTTATTCTCTCACCATCATACATGAAATGTTTTTAGTAAAGATACAATGATTAATATTTGATTAGTAAGAAACAATGAACATTATGTATGGTGAATTTATTTTTATAATGAATCATTGAATCATTGAATCATTGAATTTATTTTAGAATGAATCATTTAACAAAAAAATATAAATTACAATGAATCACACATATACATTGTACTCTATGTATAATGAATTCATTTTTTATATGAATCATTAAATTCTTGAATTTATTTTACAATTAGTCATTTAACAAAAAACATATTACAATGAATCATACATATACATTTATGTATAATGATTTTTTTTTTTTATAGAAATTCAATAAATATGATACATAATTTAGTAAGATACAATATTTTTGATGTTTTTATCGTACTTTATGTATAATATTAATATTCATGGTATCACCTATATTAATTTAGTGAGGATTTACTATTTTTTTTTTATGCTGAAATAAATTAGAATTGTACATGATACATCAAAATTGTAAGAATTATCCATGTAATCACAAAAAAAATCATCTATAAAACATTTAATATGAACATGTCAAAACCAGATAACCATAGGACCAACACTATTCAATGATCCTTCTCTATTTTAGATAAGAAAACACTTGAAATTTTAAATAGTCTTACATCAGAATTCAATATTAGCTAAATATTCTAACAAAATGAGATTTCAAAAAGATAGTGTAATTCAATTTAAAGAATTATGCTAATTACTATACATATATCCTGAAGTATATAATCGTTCCTGATATACAATATCATATATGAAAAATAAAAATAAAAGGCAATTTATAACAAAGTTAACACCATAGAAGTGTTGCTCAATCTAATTATCATATATGTTTTGCGTAATGTCACCTTCCCAACCCTATGATATCCACTTACTAATAAAATGAGCAAAATAGACATTTAATATTTTCACACACATCATTCATTTAATTAATTAACGAAAAGTGCAAACTAAAAAAGAGAGAATAGTATATAAAAAAAATAACAAACCTAAACAACTCAAACTGTTGAATAACATTCATTATATTAGTGACATAATTTTTCTTGTACAATTTTTCTAGACAAACTCATTTAATTCTAGTGCACATGTAAATATCGCAATGCGTACAAAAAAAACCTAGAGACTAAAAAAAAGAAAATTAATTAATCATCCAAGTAAATAAATTACTAGACATCCACAACATAAGACTTTGATGGAGAACTAGATCACTTCAAAGAAGAAAATAATGTTCAAGTTATTATAAAATATTATTGTAGTTGGTGCTTTTATTTGCATCATTATTTCATATAGAGAAAAAATAGCCATGACAGATTACAAATTTCACCTTCATAACAAACTTCTTGTCATATTATACCAGTAATTCAAGAAAATTCTCACAGAAAATCATGATAAAGTTCACCAAAATTTTTCTGCATTGGTCAAATTAAGCAAAAAAAATTTAAATAATAATAATAATAATAATAGCAGAAATGAGATTGTTAATGTTCACATTGTCAATGACATATTCAGAACTTTCTTGAAATCAGTTATACTTGTATCACTATTGGAATTATGTCAATCTATATTTGATTCACACTATTTTCATTCTTCTTGATCGGAAAAGCAAAAATAGAGTTGAAAGTGGAGCCTCCAAATATAATCACTATATATGAGGATTTATATCATAATTTTTTTACTAAATTCTCCTATCAGATAAGACAATGAGATTATAGAGTGAGATTATGTCTTCTAGACAAAAGAAGAGTGAGTCATTGTATTCTTCTAAGGAGTGGTTTAACACACTCCACTAAAATCATCCTCTCCATTATCAATATGAAGTTCTAACAAACAGTTTCATTAAGAGATTAAACCCACTCACTAACATTATGTTAGATGCTATAGCGGGTGGACAAATCTTGCAAAAGAAATATGACCAAATATATGCATTGTTGAATAAGTTCTCAAAGAGAAACTCGGTCGAACGACGTAACGAGTCTAAGGTTACAAAAGTCTTCGCCAACTTTGATAGGCATAGCATTGCAAGAAAATAAAGTAGAGAGCTTACCCTTTCTTTCTATTAAAGTCGCGAGCTTGTTGTAGTTGGTCCTAAGGGGAGAACCTTGCTTCTTACATGCTATATCTCCACCCGCTTTTAGAAATCTGAAAGGTGGCGCCTAAACTAGTCGGACTTGATTGAATCGATAGGCTTACCGGGCTTGAATAGGAGGAGGATGTGTACAAAAGACAATTGGGGTATTATAGCTTTAAATTATGTCGTTGTTATCTATAAAAATGACTGCAATTTAGAATCAGTTGAATAAGATGGTTGTGTGGAAATCTCAACCATATGTACATCCGATGAAGCAATCATATGTTGAGTTCTGTAAATAAAAAGGCATACTAGTGATATTGCCATCCAACTTATAATTCGTGTATTTTATTGGTAATGTCAATAAAGGGTAGTTTAATCACAATTAATATGATAATACTTACAATTCAAACTATTCACAAGGTCAATAACAAAACTATCAACATACATAGAGAGAGTTGCTCCTTTGAGTAGGATGAAAGATATGATGAAAATGATGGCTAACATAAATAAATTGATGGCTGTTTTTTTTTTTACCAAAATCGTGTTGATCTCATCCTGTCATTTACCTTGATTTTTGTTGTGTATAGAAAATATTTGCTCATGAGAACTAATTATTCCATAATAGTTGGACACATAAATAATTACCTTAAAACATTTTGGGATTTAGACTGGTGTAGCTTTCGACTTGTATGAAAATTGAGTATACTTTCTCAAGTAGAACCCCTTTAAGACCGAAATCTTTTTGAGAATCTGATCTATCTTTACATGAATTTCCTGGACATGCTTTAGGAATTTCCAGAGCTTTCACATTCTAATTGCTTGGTTGAATTCTTATTTACTGGAAGACTTGGGACCTTAAGAGTAGGATTGTTGAAACTGACAGTATGTTAGAGCTAAGTTATATATGCTTTGCCTATGTTGCTCGAGGAATTTCATAATCTCGTTCTGCTGGACCACCATTAGTCTAAGTGTATCTTTCATATTCGACTCTTCGTTGTTCGTGTGGTTCCTTTGGCCTTTATCATCGGACTCGTCATCATCATTGGGAACTCAGTCCCTTGAATTTTGTAAGTCAGACTCTCTAGGTGGAAACCCCCATGACATGTACTAGTTGGGGTCAGTTCTTCAATCAACAATTGTCCTTTTAGCATAAGGGGTGTCTGCTCGTTGTTTTGATCCGGAATGTCATTGTCTTAGTTCTCATTCAATTGTTTATGTTGTGACGTTGATGAAATTTTCTTTCCAAAAGAAAATTCTAAGTTAGCAAATAGACTGTTTAAAGATCAAAATAACATCACAACTTCTCTAGCCCTATGATAGGAGCTAAACTATGTACCCAAAAAATGATACAATCAAAGTAGTTTAAGGCACCTGAGTTAGATTAATCTTGTGAATAAAATGACAATGAAATAAATCACTGCAGTAATAAGATGTAATGAATATAAAACAAGAAGATAACTAAGTCGTGTATTAGATTCTAAGAATTGGACTTGGTACTGTAGGAACAACGTGTCTATAATAGATTAAGAGCATAGAAATTAAGAGATTTTGCAGAGAGATCATACATTTGAGAGTACTTAGTTTCTTTATACTCTTACTCATGTTTG